CCCACCCCCATCTCCTACCTACTAACCTCATCCCGCCCCCTTGATCTGTCCATCCTCCCTGGACTGACCTGTCTCCTCCCTAACTCCCCACCTACACTCACCTTTACTGGCTCCATCCCCGCCTTTTTGACCTGTCTGTCTCCTCTCCACCTATCTTCTCCTCTATCCATCTTCTATCCACCTCCCCCTCTCTCCCTATTTATTTCAGAATCCCGTTCCCCTCCCCCATTTCTGATGAAGGGTCTCGGCCCGAAACGTCAGCCTTCCTGCTCCTCTGATGCTGCTTGGCCTGCTGTGTTCATCCAGCTCTACACCTTGTTATCTCATACCTCTATTTATTTAGTTTAAAGCCCTATCCACAGCCTTAGTTATGCAATTTGCTAGGATTCTGGTTCCAACATGATTCAGGTGTAGCCCGCCACATCAGAACAGCTTCCTCCTTCCACAGTATTAATGCCAGTGACCCATGAGCTGGAACCCATTTCTCTCACACCAATCTTTGAACCACATGTTTACCTCTTCGAACTTGCTAGGCCTGTGCCAACTAGTTCGTGGCTCACATAGTAGTCCAGAGATAATTACCTTTTTGGTTCTGCTTTTTACTTCACCCCCATCTGCCTATGTTCCCTCAGCAGAAATTCTTTCCTATTTCTACCTTTATTGTTGGTAACTACATGAAGCACATCAATTGGATATTTCCCCTCCCACTCCAAGTTCCTTTGCATCTCAGATGAAATATCCCGAACTCAGGCATAACGCAGGCAACACAACCTTCAGGACTCTCGATCCTGGCCACAGAGAACAGTGTCTAATCCCCTGACTATACTTTCCCCTATTACAGCTTCATTTCTCCTTCCAATGTTTTCTTTTTATTTTTCTTAACCCCCATTCTACATCTTCCAATTCAAGATCATTTCCTGTTATGGTACTTATTCCATCCTGTACCAACAATGCCCACACCACGATCCTTCCCTTCCTGCCCTTCATTTCAAAGTGTCATATACCCGTGAATACTTAGTCCCAGTTTTGATTTCCTTGGAATCATGTCTCTGTATTGGCTGTAAGATCATATAATATCTGTTGGTCCAGTTAATTCAGATATTTGCTTCCAACATTGCATGCATTTTCAGGTAAAGAATGATTATTTTTACCTTTTTACCATTATTTCCCCTTTTGACTTTATTTACTGCTGTTTTTCTATGTTTGTACATTCTGCCCCTTCCTGTTACACTCTAGGTATTGTTATTCTAATAGCTGCCCTGTAAAGCTGCCATCTCTTGCTTTGCAAGTCTACCTTTCCCCTCTCTCAAACCATCCCCCCTCTAAGAAGTTATTCAATTCACCAGGACATCAGTCCCAGCATTGTTCAAATGAGATCCATCCCACAGAACAGCTCGCTTCTAACCCAATACTACTGCCAGTGCCCTATGCACTGAAAGCCATTTCACACAAACAATCTTTGAGCCATGTATCTAACTCCTCGACTTTATTTACTTTATGCCAGTGTATTGTTAGGCTGAAAGTACCTAACAGGTTCTTCAAGGTCTGTTCAAAATGTTTACAATAAGAAACATGCACTTCAATACATAGCAAATTTATTATCCTAATCTACTTAATAACTATACAAATTAATGAGCATATCTATTGGCTTAAACTATTTTATAGACATGCAAACTAATAAGTCTCACTGCCTTGCCTTTATGCCAGGCACTTTGGACAGCTAGCATTTAGAGCTGTATCTCAGGTCCCATGGCACTGGTCTCAGGAAACACAATCCATAGGTGAACGTCCAATGCCCTGGTCTCATGAACCCTGACTGTCGAGGAAAGTCCATGATATTAATACTGTTCTGAATTTAAGGTTATGTGCTGAATCCCCATTTCGTACGAACTTCAGTACTTTCCCATCCCTCAAAAATAGAATGGGAAAACAAGTCCAGGTGGCTCCATGTAGACGGTACAAGTGGATGGTTCCTAAGGTCAGGCAGCTTCCCCCTAGTCAAAACAAGGCCTGTTTTTCACATAGAGATAGTAAAAACTGCTGATGCTGGAGTCAGAGATAACACAATGTGGAGCTGGAGGAGCACAGGAGGCCGGGCAGCATCAGAGGAGTAGGAAAGTTGATGTTTCAGGTCAGGACCTTTTCTGAAGAAAGGTCCCGACCTGAAACGTCAACTTTCTGCTCCACTGATGCTGCCTGGCCTGCTGTGCTCCTCCAGCTTCACACTGTTATCCCGTTTTTCACATATTTCACTTTTCCACTTCACTTCAATTGCTCATTGTCATGTACAGTTAACCTGAACAATTAACCCTTAACAGTCTGGTTTCAAGATATCATTTTTAAGACCAACACTGCAGCCAGTTTGCCTGTGACTCAGGTAATAATCCAGAGATTGTTACCTTGGAAGTTCTGCTTTCTAATTTAACTCCTAACTGTTCAAAGTCTTTCAGCAAAACTGTCTTCTAGTCCTATCAATGTCATTGGTATCAACATGGACAATGATTACTGGATGCCTGCCCCGCTTCTCCAAGTTCTTCAGCCTCAAGGAGATGTTCGTAACCCTGGTACCAGGCAGGCAGCAAAACTATCTGGGACTCCTGCTCCCAGCTGCAGAGAACAGTATCTATACCTTTAAGTATACTATCCCCCACCACAACTACCTTCCTATTGCCTTTTTAAAAAAATCATTCATGAGATGTGAGTGTCACTGGCTAGGCCAGCATTTATTGCCCATCCCTAATTGCCCAGAGGGCAATAGAGAGTCAACCACATTGCTGTGGGTCTGGAGTCACATGGAGGCCAAACCAAGCAACGATGGCAGTTTCATTCCCTAAAGGACATTAGTGAACCAGATGGGTTTTTCTCGACAATGGTTTCATGGTCACCATTAGACTCTTAATTCCAGATTTTTATTGAATTCAAATTCCACCATCTGCCTGTTTGAACCCAGATCTCCAAAACATTAGCTAGGTCTCTGGATTAACAGGCTAGCGATAAATACCACTAGGCCATTGCCTCCCAAACTTGGATTGCTCCCTGTACCAAAGTGCCCTTTATTTGCCGTACCCTTGACCCATTAGCCATTTACCTGCTGCATGTTTTACCTTCCATCCCCTGCTTTCCCTATTGGATGAGTTCCATTGCTTTTCCCATTGCCAATGGCAGAAAGCTGGCATTTTGTCCCCATCCCCTTCTCTAACAGCTGCTTGCGGGGTTTGTATCCCTTCAGGAGATCAGCTTCTCAGTGCTAAGGTCTTCTTTGACAATGCCAAGTACGAGGATGTGCTGAAGATTCTCCAGAGTGCTGAACCATACAAAGTCGCCTTCTGCCTGAAACGAACAGTGCCCAGTGCTGATGTGGCCATTTCATCAGAGACCGGGAGCATTGAACTGAAAGGGCCAGAAGCCAAAAAGACTAAACTGGTAAGATTTTTCAAAATCTCCAGCTTATTCAGTAAAGCTTCCCCGTAAAGTGACAGCAGTCTTTAAACTGGAAGGGTATTTTACTTCTACTGTCAGATAGAGGACAGATGAGAAGCAAGTTTCACTACCTGATTTGTACACTCTCTGATTTCAGTTCCCATGAAAGTGAAGCTCCTGTTAAACACACTGTCAGATGACCTTCAATACCCCCACTGTTTCTGTGAATGGACTGTCCTTCCATATGGGAGCTTATACTTTTTAATTTGTTCATGGGACATGGGCATCACTGGCTGGGCCCAGCATTTATTGCCCGTCCCTAATTAACCTTGAGAATGTAGTGATGAGCTGCCTTCTTGAACCGCTCCAGTTTGTATGCTGTCGGTTCCCCATAAAGCAGTTAGGGAGGGAGCTCCAGGATTTTGGAATATATCACTATTCCTTCAATGTCACTGGGTCAAAATCCTAGAATTCCCTTCCTAATTGTGGGTTTGCCTCCAGCAAATGACTGCAGTGGCTCAAGAAAGCAACTCACTACCACCTTCTCAAGTGAACAGTTCTGGTCGACCTGCTGTAGGAAGGATATTAACAAATTGGAGAGGGTTCAGAAAAGATTTACAAGAATGTCGCCAGGACCGGAGGGTTTGACTTGTAAGGAGACGCTGGATAAGCTGGGACTTCTTTCACTGGAGCGTAAGAGGTTAAGGGGTGACCTTATAGAAGTTTATAAAATCATGAAGGGCCTAGGTAAGGTGAAAAGCCAAGGTCTTTTTCCGAGGTGTGTGGGGAGTCCAAACCTTGAGGGCATAGGCTTAAGGGTTAGAAGGGAAAGATTTAAAAGGGACCTGAGGGACAACATTTTCACAAAGAGGAATAAACTGCTGGATGAAGTGGTAGATGTAGGTACAGTTACAACATTTAAAAGCCATTTAGACAGGTACATTAATAGGAAAGATTTAGAGGGATATGGGCCAAATGTGGGCAAAGGGACTAGTTTTAGTTTGGGAAACATGGACGAGTTGGACTGAAGGGTCTGTTTCCGTGGTGTATGACTTTGTGACTCTATGGCTATTAAGAACAGGCAGAAAGTGCTGGTGCCATAAATGCATTAAGAATAAATGCTCCTATATCAGACCCTTTATTCCACTAAAGAACTTGCTAAATGTAGACCACAATGAGCATTAGTCAAAATCAGCCAAAATGAAGGAAATGATTTTGAATTTATGTAGTTCTTAGTAGGCTTGATGGGGCAGATGGAGGAAATTTCTCTGAATGGGTGGCGGTGGTAGGGAAGCATATAGTCTTGGAACAAGGAGCAGTCCATTTCGGACTGAGGTGGGGCGGAGACTTTTTACTCAGGTGGTGTATCTTTGGAATTCTCTGACCCAAAGGGCTGTGGAACTTAAAACATTGAGAATGTTTAAAACCGAAATCACTAGATTTCTAAATATTAAAGATATCAAGTAGTATTGGGATAGTGTCAGAAAATGGTGTGGAGGGTAGAAGCTCAGCCAGCATTATACTGGTTCAGGCACGAGGGGCCGAATAGCCTGAATTTCCTATTTTATATGTTCCACAACTAAGCAAATAGTCTGTTTCACCGCCAACACCACCTTCTCAAGGGGCAAGTAAGGCAGGGTAATAGAAATGCTGGTTTAGTTAAATGCTTGAATTAGTTAAATAACTCCCTGAAAACTTAATGTCTGTGTTTTTTTGTTTAGAGTATCAAGAGCATTTCGCCTGTCAAAAAAACCAAGAGGTTAATGAAGGGGAAGGTCCTCAGCAAGGAAGAGGCAGACGTCGAACTGGATGTGCCAGTGGACGTAGAGTTTGCGTTCCCTAAATTCTCCACGTTTAAGAGACTGACTATCACTTCCCCCAAGGAGGCAGCAGCTTTGAAAGGTGACGCCAAGTTCATTCATCCCGAGGCAGAAGCTGAACTCACTTTGGGAGAGAGTCAGGTCAAAGACAAGAAGAGAAAGCTCAAGTTCCCGGGGTTCTGGACTGGAGAGTCAGGGAAGGCCAAGCTCGACATCCTGGAGCCTCCAAAGGAAAAAGGTGCTATCTCGGTGAAGAAGCCACAGGTCACAACAAAAGAGCTCGAAGGCACTGGGGTGGAGGTGAAGGCCGGAGCTAAGGTGCCCGCTCTCGAGTTCTTGTCTGAAAAGAGAAAGGGGAAAGTAGATGTCCCCACTTCCAAAAGTAAAACTGAACTCAAGGTGTCTGGTGGAGCGGACGTGTCTGCTGAAGGAGAAATTCCTGAAGGTAAATTGATCCTCGGGCTCCCAGCAAAAACCCCTCAGGTTGAGATAGATATTGGCTTACCGAAAGCTCAAATCGATGTCAAAGGCCCATCGGTTGAAGACGAGGCGAGTGCTAAAGGGCCCGGTTTTAAGCTGAAGATGCCGTCATTCGGGCTGAAAGATAGCGAGGCCATGGAAACAACAGGTCCCGCTGGTAAAGTGGAAAAACGCGAAACTGAAGGTGAGGTAGCTGGCCCAGAGGACAAACTGAAGATGCCTCAGATATCGATGCCCAGCATTGACATCTCTGTACCAAAACTAAAACAAACAGAAGAATTGGACATGCCTAAACGAGGTGTAGAAGTTGTCGTTGGTACTTATAAAACAGAAGGCTTGGAGGGAAGAGTTAAAGAATTTGCTCACAAAATCAAAACATTTGATGTTGCAGCCTCCAACGTCAAGGTGCCTGATATTGACATCAGCCTGCCAAAGGGGAGAGCTGATGTTTCAGCTGACGTTAAAGCTGCAAAGTTTGAGGGTGAAATCCAGAAATCAAAGATTGGTATCGAAGGACCAGAGGTCAAGTTGAAGATACCAAAAGTATCGCTCCCAGACTTTGGCATCTCTGTCAAGGACGAAGAAGGTGGGGAAGTGGAAGTTGAAGGCCCTGATGTCAAAGGTCCAGTGTTAAAGATCCCAAAATTTGAAGTCTCACTTCCCAAAATGAAACTGGGAGAGGCAGAAGTTGATGGCTCCCCACCAACAGCTGAGGCACGTGTGAAAGTTCCTGTGTCCGAGGTACAGGTTTCCAAAGCCAAAGCGGACATCAAGGGCCCTCAAGTGGAAGGAGGTGAGGCAAAAATTAAACTGCCCTCAATGAAAATGCCAACCATTGACATTACAGCGCCAAAGGTAACAATTCCAGATGTTCACCTCCCAACTGCTAAAGTAGAGGTCTCTGCTCCAGGCATTACAGCTGACTTGAAAACACCCAAAGTCAGCATTGGAGGGCCAAGGGTTGATGGGCAAGGGCCTGAAGAGAGTTCTGAGGGATTCGACCTGAAGATGAAAATGCCGAAAGTATCCCTCCCGAAGTTTGATATCTCGGTTGGTGGCAAAGAGGCCGAGGCAAAAGTGGATGGAAAACTGGAAGTAGCTGGTGAAGACGCCAAGTTCAAAGGAATGAAGATCCCCAAATTTGAAGTGTCTCTGCCCAAAATGAAACATGCAGAAGCTGAAACTGAGCTTCCAGCTGAAGCGGCTGTAAGTGGCCCCGGCCTTGATTTGATTGGAAAACTGCCGTCCATCAAAATGCCAACAATTGACATTTCAGCCCCCGAGATTAAGATGCCTGAGATGAATGTGCACCTTCTGACGGAGAAGGCAGAGGTCTCAGTGCCAGCTGTCGAAGGTGGCGTCAAGCCTCCGAAAGTTGGCATTGGAGCCCCAAAAATCGACAAGCAACCTTCTGAATTGACTCCAGAGGCCCTCGATCTGCAGTTGAAGATGCCAAAAGTGTCTCTGCCGAGCTTCGGCCTATCATCCAGTAGTAAAGAGGTGGCAGGGGAAATGAGTGGCCCTGAGGTGGATGTTAAGGGGAAACTGCCATCAGTCAAAATGCCAACAATTGATATCTCAGCGCCTGAGGTCAAAATACCCGAGCTGGACATTGATGTCTGCCTTCCGAAAGAAAAAGGAGAAACTGCTGAGCTTGCTGTCAGAGCGGATGCTAAGGTCCCTGGTGTTGGCTTTAAATCACCAAAGGTTGCAGGGGAGAGCAAAGTGCCTGGAATTACCCCAGGAGGCACTGATGCTACATTTCAAATGCCAAAGGTATCATTTCCAAAGTTTGAAATTTCACTGAAGAGCAAAGACGGCAGAGAAGACATTGATGTGAAGGCAAAGGAAGGGTTGGACGTTGAAGATCCAGATGGGAGAGTAAAGAGTCCACAGCTTAAAATGCCCAAATTGGCAGTGGCTCTTCCTAAGATGAAATCAGGTGAAGTTGACATAACTGGCCCAACAATTGAGGCCGACACCAAAACTGACAAACGAGACGCAAAAATCTCAAAGGGTAAAGTTGAGGTGGAAGGAGTTGGAAGTTCAAAGGATAAACTGAAACTGCCTTCAATGAAAATGCCATCCATTGACATTCCCACCTTTCAGATGGAGGGCCTAAATATTGACATCAGTCTTCCTTCAGTGAAATCAAAGCCAGCTGCTGAAGGCGATTTGAAGTCAGACAGAGGTAGTATTGAAGGAGCTGAAGCCAAATTGAAAATACCCAAAGTGTCTCTGCCAAACTTTGCTTCAAAGAGCAAAGTGGACACAGAGGCAGATGGCAGCCCGTTGAAAGGTGACGGAAAAGCATCTCCGCCAGAAGCAAAGGGTAAAGTTCAAGTCAAAGGTAAATCCCTCGACATTGGGATCAAAGGACCTTCTGTCGATGTAGATGTTGATGACGTAAAGCTAAAAGGGAAGGAAGGCAAGCTTAAAATGCCCAAGTTCAAAATGCCGACATTTGGAACACCCAAAAAATACGAAGAGGGTGTTGACATCGCCACCCCTGATGTTGAAACACACACTTCGAAAGGCAAGCTTAAAGTTAAGGGAGCAGAAGTGGAAACAGGGACCCCAAAGGGAAAAGGCAGGATTTCCAAATTTGGGATTTCGGGGTTTAAAAGCAAATCTTTAGATGCTGAAGTGAGTCTTTCTTCAGACACTAAGTTGTCAAAGGGGAAAGTAGAGATGAAAGACCCCAGTGCCAGTATGAAAGCACCTAAGGTGGACATCAGCACTAAGGCCCCTGATCAGAGCACTGGAGCCCCTGATATCAAACTGAAGATACCTTCCTTCTCAATGCCCTCCATTGGTATATTGGGATCAAAAGCAGAAGCAGACAAGGAAGTGGGTACCAAAGCCACTTCTGGCACTTTTGATGCCGAAGCAGAAAGCAAGTTGAAAATGCCAAATATACAGATGCCAGCGATTGAAATTTCAGTGCCTCAGGTAAGGCAGGCAGATGCCGAGGGACTGTTGCCAAGGGCAGAGGTCGATGTCTCAGAAGTCGACCTGAAAACCTACGGGGGAGATTTAAAGATTCCAAAGGTGAAAGGTGAGGCGCAGGACTCGGAAGGGAAACAGAAGGTTCCGTTGGTGAAAATGCCATCCATTGACATTTCATTGCCCAAAGTAAAAGCTCCAGACGTTGACCTCAGTTTGTCTGTGCCCAAGGTTGATGCCTCAGGGCGAAAGGTTGAAGGTGAGGCTACTTTATTAAGCTCTGAACCTGAAGATGGAGAATTCAAACTGAAAATGCCCAAGATTGGAATGCCCAAGATTGGGATATTTGAGTCAAAGGAGAAAGAGACTGGTGTTGATATTTTGGCTACTACAGATTATCACATAGGGGACCCTGAAGGTAAAGGGATAATGTTCAAAACTAGAATGCCTAAAGTTGATCTTTCTCTACCCAAAGTTAAACCATCAGAAGCTGATATTGAGATGGATGCCTCTCTGCTTGAGGGTGAGGGACTTGATGCAGAAGGAAAATTCAAAATGCCAGCATTTGCTCTTCCAAAGTTCTCACCACCGAAAATGGTGGCTCCAGAGTTGGACCTCAATATCCCGTTTTCCAAAGATAAAAAGGTGGCTAGTGAGGCAACAGGCCCCAAAACTGATACTCAGACTGCAGGGGGTGAATTTCAAATAAAGATCCCACAGGTGTCTTTGCCTAGTTTTGGCATTTCATCAGCGGAAGCAACCAGCACTGGCGTGGACATCCCAATCGACAAAGCGAAACCGAAAGGAAAAATAGAAGTTAAAACCGCTCGTGCGGATGGAGGGACTGAAGTAGAAAGCCCTGAGGGGAAGACCAAAGGGGGCAAAATCAAGATGCCCAAGTTGCAAATCAGCACTCCAAAGACAAAGGCTGAAGGGGACGTATCTGCAGCGAAAGAGGTTGCTAAATCTGACACGGAAACAGAGGGAGGAATATTGAAACTGAGCCTGCCAAAATTTGGGATTTCACCAAAATCTACAGAGATGGAAGCCAATTTAGAGCAGCGTGGCTTGGATGGGAACCCAAAAGAATCCAAAGCCAAAGCGTCCATGTTTGGCATCTCACTTGGGAAAGGCCACAAGGGCGAGGGGAATGCTAGTCTGGGAGTTTCTGGGGTGACCGAGGGGGACTTCGAAGCAAGTGGTGGCAGAAAGTCGGACAAGTTCAAGATTAAGATGCCGTCAGTTACCATTCCCAGCCCAAAAGCGGACATCGATTTCGGCAGAGCTTCACCAAAAGGCAAAGTTACTGATCAAGAGGCTAAAGCTGCAGTGAAAGAAGCAGGGGGATTCCGGGTAAAAGGTGAGATCCAGGCCCAGGATGTGAGCTCAGAGAGTCCCGAGTCCCCATTTAAAATGCCCAAATTGAGGATGCCGGATTTTAGCATTTCCAGCAAGAAAGGTGGTGACGTGACGGCGGAAATGAAGGAAATGTCAGAAAGGGACACTCGCAGATCGAAAGTTGAAGTGGATCTTGAGGGCCCAGAGGCAGAAGCAGACGGGAAGCTCCAGATGTTGAAGATGAAGATGCCCAAAGTTGAGATTGGTTTGCCAGGAGAGGACTCAGACGGAACCAGAAAAGCAGAGGGTAAAGTCGGAGTGGACGCTCGGCAGATTGGCCAAGAGCCTTCAGAAGAAATATCTGCCAAGGGGTTCTTTAAGATGCCTACTGTTGAGATTTCAACACCCAAGATCAGAGATTCATCTGCTGGGGTGGAAGGAAGTGCCACTGAAATTGGCCTCCATCAACTGGGTGGCAGAGGAGGTCCACCAGAGGGTGATGCCGATGTTCTTCAGCTGAGGATGCCCAAGATTGAGCTGCCCTCGTTCGGCTTATTGGAACCCAAAAAGGAAAGTCAGGAACAATTGGGAGATCGAAGCAGCACAGGGGCTACTGTGGGTTCCTCTGTGTCAAAGACTAAAATAGACATTCAAGGTCCGCAAGTGACCGTCAAAGGTTTGCAAGTTGAAATGGAGGCGACAGGAGCAGAGCTGGACACTTCAGAAAGCAGACTGAGCAAACTCAAAGGGAAAATGTCAAAGTTTGGTGTGGAGTTGCCAAAAGTCACACAGCAAGAGGAGGTGAAGGTGACCTCTGGTGCATTTAAGGCTGAGGGCACAGCAAAGGGAAGTTATACATCACTTAAGGCTGACGTTGACTTGTCTGATGCAGAGCTCACAGGATCTGAAGCAAAGACAAAAACTGACAAAGCCAGAAAGCAGCTGCTTGGGTTTGGAAAGGCTAAAGTGAAAGGCAAGGACCTGACCGGCCATTTACCAGAAGGAGACATTAAAACGTCTTCACCCAAGGCCAAAGGACAGAGCAAATCTCCGTCTGCGAAGGAGGACATTGGCGTTGGAATTCCATCGGAGAGCGATAGTGCAGTGGGCAAAGTGAAAATGCCCAGTGTGAAGATGCCGAGCTTTGGAATCTCTCTGTCTAAAAGTAAAACTGTGGAGGTCAATGGGGGTTTGGAGGCAGACAGGTCCACAAGAAAAGGAGAGGCCTGGGGGTTTCAAACTGCTCGGAAGAAGGCTGCAGGAGCTGAGGAAAGTGATGACACAGATAGCTCGGATGGGAAATCCAAAATGAAACTGAAGTTGCCCAAGATCAGTTTCACACCTGTTAAAATACCCACAGTTGATGTTGCTTTGGGTGGGCCTGATTCACCTGTTGCAGGGAAACCAGGCGATGCCTCAAGCCTTCATGTCAATGGAGAGGGTGAGACAGCTGTTAGCCAAGGCATGATGGGAAAAATCAAACTGCCAAAAGTGGAATTTTCCTCTCCTTATCTGAGGGCCAAGGACGGTGACTACGAACAAAGCCTCCAACTGGTCAAAACAGAAATGTCTGTGTCGAAAGATGATGCTGGGGCCAAGTCCAGTTCTGGCCCATCTCCCAGGTCCTCTTCCCCCCGAGTGAATGGAGAGGACGCCAAAGGCAAAGGCCTGAAAATAACCTTCTCAGGCCTCCAAAAGAAAATCCACGAAGGGGATGGAGAGCCAGATGGGTCAAATCTGGTGACGTCAACTGCCAGGACTGAGCTGGTTCTGCTGGAATCCAGTGGGGATGCCAGGCACACCAAGACTAACAAGTCAAAATCCATAATGAGCTTTACTTCAAGTAAATCCAAGGGAATGTACTCTGTTCAAGGCACTGCCTCAGGCCTCTCTGACTCGGGGAATGTGTCCAAACTAAAGAGCACCACAGATGGCCGTGGGGAGGAGAAAGAAGAGTCAGAAATGAAGGATAAGTCCACTAAATTCAAACTCCCCAAGTTTTCCCTTGGCCCCAAGTCTAAAGGGGTATTGGACGTCACCACCACAGAATATGAAAACAATGTTATGTCAGAACTACAGCTCGAGGATGATGAGTCCACAGAACGGCACTTTAAATTCCAGATGCCCAAAGTAGGCTTCACAACTGTCTACCATGAGGAGCACATTTCTGAGGAGAAGATCTTTGAAGGAGAAGGTCCTGTCATGAGGTTGAAGGGCAAAAAACAGATGAAAATTGGAACTCTGACTGATAAGTCTACCAGTTTTTAACTGAAGGTCAGAAACAGCAAGGAACAAGTTCCTGAGTGGAACAGAGACTTGAGTGTTGTACAGATTTCCCTCACTTTCAACAAATTAACAGCGTTCTTGTGTTTCGGAGCAGACAGATAAAGGTGACTAGACTATAACTCGACACAATACAGGCTACAGTCTCCCTGGACTAGCAATGGTAGTTCAAACTGGACTGTCCAATGCTGTATGTTATGATAAGGCAACTTGTGATCTTCTAATGGAGGAAGTGCACAGAACACTACTGATTTAAAATTTTCCCTATGACTAACACTCACCAACAGACTTTATCACATCCACTCACCCCTAATCTTCTCTTGGTTCCTTCAAAGCATTATGCCTTGATTGGTGATTTTCCTCAAGTATTGTGGTCTTACTATATTAATTGTAGATTAAAACCCAAGGACTTAGCTAGTTATTAAAAGGTTTTTATGGACAATTGTTTCATTTGGTCGTGATTTAGGGTCTCTAGAAGGATGCCATTTAGTCAGTCTTCAGGCAGAATGAAAGGGTGGCACGGTGGCTCAGAGCGCCAGGGACCCAGGTTCGATTCCACCCTCACGGGTCTGTCTGTGTGGAGTTTGCACATTCTTCCTGCGTCAGCGTGGGTTTCCTCCCGGTGCTCCGGTTTCCTCCCATAAGTCCAAAGATGTGCAGTTTAGGTGGATTGGCTACATTGCCCATTGTGTCCAGGGATGTGCAGGCTAGGCGGACTAGCCACGGAAAATGAGGGGTTATGGGATAGGATGGGGGGGGTGGGTCTGGATGGAATGCTCTTCAGAGGGTCAGTGTGGTTTCAATGGGCCAAATGGCCTGCTTCCACACTGTAGGGATTCTATCAATAAACAGGAGGAAAGAAGAGGATAAATGAATCTCAGAGATAAGTGAAACCTAGAGAGTGAGATAATTAGACAGCGTTTATGAAGTGTATGAACCCCAAATGGTGAATAGGTTGGCTAGTGAATTCCAGTGGGGTGAACGAGCCCTGTCCTGTTTGCTTTGTCCTTGGCTTGAAGAGTTATCTCAAAAGGACCTTGGCCAGTTGCAGACCATTTCATTAAACTTTGACTGTGCAAAATAGCTGTGTAAAGCCAAGATGTCGAGTAGGAGGAAGTGCTAAGGTTCCTGGAGTGTTCGAATTTTAACCCGTGTTTTAAATGGAGCAATGTGTAGACAGGCTACAGGAGCATCTCGAAACCCCTGAAAAGGATAATGAAAAGTTAACAAGAATTCTTAAGGAGCCTAACTGAGCAAACTCGAAGCATTTATATTGCCATTAACGGTTCTCGTTAGCATACAGTCATGCAAAGTGCATTTACTGCCTGTTTTGAGATACATTTAGACGTTCTCACATGTGAAGGGTTAATGACTATAGTCAGTGACAAACCTGTATCAGAATGGTGACTGGGTGCCATTTTGCTTCGGATGTGTCCATTCTAACTCATTGGCCTTAGTTAGAGGAGGGCAGAAAAGGAAGCTGCCTGTAGTCATAGTACTTCTACACTTTTCTAAAGCATAGTGTAACTGGAGGGTGTAGCAAGTACTGAGATCTCGTTAGGCAGACCCGTCAAACTCCCATCAGTGAAAACTTTGTGACAAACTCACTGGCAGAATGAGACCAGATGACCTGATTCAACTGATGCGGAGGCTCAGGATGTTTGCAGGAAACTTGACCTGATGAATAAGGATAAAAGGAAAGAAGTCACGCCAGACCATTTGAAATCACAGCTCAGGCCTCAGCTGGATGCAATCCAGGGTGCTCAGTTCAGGAACGATGCTAGGATCTCGGAGAGGGTACACAAGGTGTTTACCAGGGTGATGACCAGGCACAAGGCACTTCATAGGAAAACTGAGAATTGATGTCCCAGAGAAAGTTCAGGGGGAGACTTACAGAATCAAGAGGGGCTACTGACGAAACAAGTGAGAAGAAACCTTCCTTTTGGTCAAGTTGATCAGTTCCCAGATTTCAGAGAGGTACAGCAATTGACCAAAGATGTGGAAGGCAAAATGAGGAGAAACAGAAAGGTGCAATGATCCAGAATTCACGGCTGACATCAAGCAGATTTCATGCAGATCTTTCAAGGAGCATCAATGGGAGCAGCCGGCAGGGTGACAGGATAAAATGTGGATGTGGAACAAAATTGATCAGTGCTTTCAAAGAGCTGGCAGAGGCATCATGGGCAGAATGGCCCCTCTCTGTGCTATCAGATCTATGGTTCTATAACCTGACTCAAATATACTTTCAATGGCAGAAACATACTTCAATGAAGGAAGTTATCATTAACCATATGAACCTGACAGACATAGCTGAGGAGGTGAAGACTTAAAAGATCATTTTATTTGTAAGGTTTCAATTCAGATGAGTGAAATTTTCACAAACTCAAAGGAGGTAATCAGAAGAAAAAGGCATTTTCTATTAATTTTATTGTGTTTAGACTCGTGATAACTGTCAGTTTAAGTGGGTCATGACTGGTGAAAGTAAGGTCAAATTGGTCAGGGCTTGTTGGTAAGTGGTAGTTACTGTTCCCCATTAATCTCATTCCTACCTGCTTTTTATTGAATTTCATCCACACATATTGGCTCTGAGGTTCCTTTGAAACACTGTTTGTTGGCCACATTCGCCTCTATCTGATGTTTCGTACTAATGTTTCAAACACTGAAATAAAGTACTAAAATCATGCTTACATAGTCCATCTGGAGAAAGTGAAGATATTATTGTGGAGAATGCAGTGATTTGCAGAGTTCCCATTAAATTGCATTAAATTCCCACTTTTAATATTGTCTGTGCAAAAAATATTAAATCTTGTTTGAAATGAAAATGTCTTGAAATCCTTTAAGTATCTTCTTAAAGGATTTGTTGCCAATTGCTCAAGAGATATTTTCTCCTCTGAACTAAAAGCTGTCCCTAACCTGATGTGACCTCAGCTATCTGGTCATATATTAAAATGTTCAAGTTAATGAAGCAAGAACAGCATGAGAGGCAATATCTCAAGATAGTTACATATTTGTAAGCTGTCCCAGCTCCTCCACCTCTCAATCAACGGTTCCATTCTCAGATTCCAGAGCCTCCATCTCACACACACACACTCTCCATTCCACATTCAGATTCCAGCTTCTCAATCACACACACACACACCACCCCACTCTCAGATACTAGCTCCTCCATCACCCACACACATTGTTCCAATCTCTGATGCCAATTCCTCCATCACACACACACAGCCCCTCTCTCTGATACCAGCTCCTGCATCACACACAGACACTCACTGTCCCACTTTGAGATACCAGCTCCTCCATCATACATACACACAGACTGTCCCACTCTCTGATATCAGCTCCTCTAACACACATAGATACACACACACCCCACACTGTCCCACTCTCCGATACCAGGTCCTCCATCACACACACACACATGCAGACTGTCCCACTCCCATTAAGAAATAGTTTCTGACAACACCATTTGAGTTGAAGTTGGGCACATGAACCATTAGTAGTCCCAGAATCTGGTTGACTTGTCTGCAGATGGCCTTGGTCTGTCACAGAGAACCATATTATTAGAGGTTACCCAGAGATACATCCCACCGGCTTGATACACAGCTATATCTGGTATTGGATCATTTGTGAACCCAAATCAATGCTTAGCTACAGTGTATACTGAACCTGCTGAGTACATCGATGACATCACGCAGCATTTGCTGTGGGTTCAACCTACACCCTCTGAATTCAGGTTCATAAATTTAATCATAAACATCATCAGGTTTGTCTCTTGATACTAGTGATGGGTCTGGAAATAAATCACAATATATCAAGGTGAGGTGGTGAGCAGTGTATTTAAACCATTCAGAAGTTACAGGACATTAAATGCGGAAAGAATCAGAGCAAACTGCACCGCTGCAGGGAACTAAATATCTCTTGACATGGTCTTCTGATACCATTTTTGATCATTTTGTGGTTGTAACATGGCAAGGTTTAAGTATGGAATATATTTTTAATGAATAATTTTAACCGTGTATAATAAAAATGAGGAATTCTCACACCAGTGCTGCAGTGTGTCTGTTTGTATGTATCAGACATCTCACATAAGGGCAGATTCTGTAACTGAGAAGGGCTAGGGTAGCCAGTGTCACCCAGGTGAATGGTACAGATAGTGACCTATAGCAAAGGTCAAGCCCCCTCCACAGTCATATAAACCTCTGCAAAACCATATAGTCCAGAAAATTCTTCCTGAACCTTTACAGGGTGATCAAATACAAACCCAGTTAATCTTACCGACCGTGAGTGAGTTATCTGTTATGCCACTTACTTCTGTAACTAGAGGCTGCTGGGAGCAGTGACTGATTTGCTGTGAACTAACTAATCACATGCGGGGTAACAGTTGAGTTATAAGCTCTCCAGTTAGCTTCATTCCCTCTGGCCAGGGAGGGGAAATCCTGCTTAGTTTTTTTGGCATTTCCTGACTGAAATGGAGGACATATAGATTTGGGGGTGACGACTATAATGGGTGTAATGGTGCAGATCCTGTAATTGAATACTATGCCAACATTCCATGTTTAAATGCACACATAAAGAATAGATATTTGGGCCAGGTAGTAGAGAGTGAGTGTCATCCCAGTGAGAGTCAGTGTGTGTGGGACCCCGTACCCCAGTGAGAGTCAGTGTGTGTGGGACCTGTACCCCAGTGAGGATCTGTGTATGTGTGAGACCCATACCCCAGTGAGAGTCAGTGTGTGTGGGACCTGTACCCCAGTGAGGATCTGTGTATGTGTGAGACCCATACCCCAGTGAGAGTCAGTGTGTGTGAGACCTGTATCCCAGTGAGGATCTGTGTATGTGTGAGACCCGTACCCCAGTGAGAGTCAGTGTGTGTGGGACCTGTACCCCAATGAGGATCTGTGTATGTGTGAGACCCGTACCCCAGTGAGTGTCAGTGTGTGTGAGACCTGTATCCCAGTGAGGATCTGTGTACGTGTGAGACTCATACCTAGCTCCTGCCTATACTGTGACACTGGAACAGCTCCAATCAATGTGGCAAATGACATTCCCTGGAGGAGGTGATAAATGCTTTCATCCTTCTCAACTGTTCTATAACATTCGTCAATCATACCATCTTCCAATTGTAACCAGAGTGTCTTCAACACTGGCCTTATCTCTTCCCCACACCAAGTCCCTGATAATCACTCACCTTCTTCATCTGCAACATCATCTGAAGGCGTTGAAACAATTTGCACATGTATTCTAATCATGCCCATTTCAATCCCCCCAACTTGCCATACTTGTTACATTGCTTCTCAAACATTCAGTATTGAACAGGCTGCAATTTTCACCAGTTAACATTAGGAAGATTAAAGTAAATGCTTGAGTCAACAGTCATGACTAGGCCCATAGGATACTGGACACAGTCTCAGGTTAAACTGGGCTGTTCACTACCTCAGCATTCAATTTGATCCAGAAATAACATTCCAGCCTGCTTCCACTCTGTAACATTGACATTACCCATCTCCACACCATAACATTGACATGCCTATTTCCATCTCTGTAACAAAGACATTGCCCATCTACATCACTGTAACATTGACGTTGTCAGTCTCTATCTCTGTAACATTG